TTATACACACATCCTATTAATTTTTTGAATACTCTTTCTTGAGTTTTTAACTTAATGAATTTGGGGCATTCTTCAGCAGTTCACAAACCTCTAGGGAAGTGAGATAGTAAAGTGATTAATAGCAGACGCTAAAGCACCACCCTGGGTTCAAATCCAGCTCTGCCCCTTATTAGCCGTGTAACCCTGGGCTAGTTGGTTCACCTCTCTGTGCCTTTGTCAAATTGGGCTAACACAGCACCTACCTCGGACTGGTGTAGGGAAGGCTGAGTGAATTCGTGTATGTAGAGTAGTGCCTGGCACATAGCAAGTGCTCTGTCAGGTCTGAGTATCCACCTCATTCTGTGTAAGGACTGCACAGCATATTTCATTGCTCACATGTGGCTTCTCACTGCTGTGTTTGTGCATACTCTCTTCTCTAGCCCTTGAATCTATTTCCTCTCTTCTGTCAAAGACAAACTCAAAAGACCTGCCTTGATAATCCTGTTCGATCCAGATTTCTCCCTAGGCTGAGGTGTTTAGATTTTTAGAGAGTATTCTGTCATTGAGTTGCCTTTAATGTCTATGAAGGTTTCTTCTTATAAACGTTCAATATTTCTTATGAATTGTGGGGTCTTTATCCAAACTTTGTTTTAGCTCTTTGTCATATCATTTATTTCTTATGTACTTTTTGCAAGAAATATGAAATTTTTAATAAGACATATTTTTCAGCGTAACCGCTTTTCCCAAAAGTCTGCCTTCACTGGCCCGCATTCACCTGACTGCGTTGGGGGAACTCAGTATCCCTCCTTACTAACCCATGCTCTCCTTGCTGTCTCTGCTACTATACCTAATATGTTGTTTCAGTTATCCACTTACATGCCTGTCTCCCCATCTCTCTAGACTTTATGTCTTGAGGGCAGGGACCATGTCTAATTCTTCATTATATATTCTTCTGATGGTAGGTGTACAATAAAAATTTACTAAATTAAACCAAATTCCTTTTCATTCGTTGGGCATTCAATTGTTGCCTCAGTCAATCACAGAAATACTCAATTAGTATAGAAATAAAAAGAAAAATGCTATGTTATTCTCATGTGTCATTTATTGAGTTCTTACTATGTATCCATTATTAAGTGTTATCCTTATATAGCTTTGTAAGAAAGACGGTTTTATCCCAATTTTTAGCTTAGGAACTGAGGCTTCATGAGTAACTTGACCAAGAATGGCTTCTCTTTCTCCATTTCCTCCCTCTCGTGGTGTTTTATATACGTATAATATTATCATTCTATTAATATATATCTTTTTTTTTTTTTTTTAGTTTTGAGACAGAGTCTCACTCTGTCACCCAGGCTGGAGTACCATGGTGCAATCTTGGCTCACTGGATTCAAGCAATTCTCCTGCCTCAGCCTCTTGAGTAGCTGGGATTACAGGTGCTTGCCATCGTGCCTGGCTAATTTTTGTATTTTTATTATGGACGGGGTTTCAACATCTAGGCCAGGTTGGCCTTGAACTCCTGACCTCATGATCCACCTGCCTTGGCCTCCCAAAGTGCTGGGATTACAGGTGTGAGCCACCGCACCAGGCCTATATGTCTTTATATATAATATTTAATTTACATATGTGTAAGTTTTATGTGTGTGTAAAGCTTATATTTTACATTATATATATTCTATTAACATATATTTTTTCAATTTATATATATAAAACTTAACACTATTAAGTCTCTAGTGTTGAGTTTTATATATACGTAGTTGTTCTATTAAATATATGTATACGCATACATATATATATGGTGGGGAGGGGTGTTTCTCCAGCCTAGACTTTGTACTTTGAAATCTGGCCTCCAGGCTTAGCTGTTTGACATTACCACTTAGATGTCTGATAGACTTAACATATTCACATCTGAATTTCAAATCTTCCCCACCAATCTGCTCTGCCTCGTAGTTTCCCCTTCTCAAAATGTGGCTGCTCCATCCTTCCCGTTGTTCAGGTCCAAAGGCTTGGAGTTTTCCGTGACTCCTCTCTTCTTCTCAAACCCCACATGTAATCCATCGGGTAGTCTTATTGGCTATGCCCTCACATTTTTTTTTAAAGCTAATTAGTTTTCACCACCTCCAATGCTGCCACCATGGTACAAGCTACCATCCTCAGCATCTTTCTTCCAGTGGATTTTAACATCCATGAATGATTATTTTCTAAATCAATTATCCATAATTGATTATTATAAATTTGTGATTTTCTGTTTCTATCCTTCATGACACTTTTTAGGGTTTCTTAAAAGAGCTTTTCTTCATGGTTCTTAAAAAAATAGCATCAGTATGCACTCGTGGATTCTTTTGTTCAGTGCGCTATAAGCCATTCCTCTCATTATTCATTTTGATTCTCAATTTGTCCTAGTCTTGGCCAGTGGGAGTCTTTTATGCTAGCTCCTCTATCTTTTTGATATGTCCCCACCTTTTTTTTCTAACACTTCCTTATTTCTGAAATTGTAAGATATTCTAGGTTCACGCTATACCTTCACTACCCCAATACAGGCATCATCTATCTCTGTAAGTAGTCCTAGTTCCCTTTAGCAGGAGAAGTTTTTCCAGACTCTTTCATAAGGCAGAGCTACAAAATTGATTATTTTAAAAAATCTTGAGTTCATACTTTAATTCATACCTATAATTCCAATCCAACACTGCAGGCTTCTTCTTTCCCTCCCCTCATCCCATATTTGTATTTGTATTTGAGATATGAGATGTGTATCTCATGTCCCGTATTTCTCCAGTAACTGAAAACGTTCATATCAATGATAGCAGCATACTTACTCATTTTGCTCAGTCTGATAATACACACACACATTTGTAGAGAAATAGAACAGTTTTAAAACTGTTATCCCAATAGCTACAAACTTACTACAAATTTTGGTTCAAAATTTCTTCATAGTTCTTTTGACCAAATATAGTCAAACATATTTTGAATAGTCTATATATGCAACATATAGAAATATTTGAGGGCATTCAAATATATTTGGCAGACGGCATTCAGTCAGAGTAATGTATTCAAAAGTTACTTGGATTAGATTTTCCTTCTATGATTTATGTTTACATTGGACTGTAGAGTTAAATAATTTTCTTTCTTTTTATTTGTTTACAGTTTATTTTTTCCCATTTATTTATTGCATTTTAGGTTTTGGGGTACATGTGAAGAATATGCAAGATTGTTGCATAGGTACACATGTAGCAGTGTGATTTGCTGCCTTCCTCCCCATCACTTACATCTGGCATCTCTCCCCTTGCTATCTCTCCCCAGCTCCCCACCACCCACCGTCCCTCCCCTATTTCCCCCCAACTGACCCCAGTGTGTAGTGCTCCCCTCCCTGTGTCCATGTGTTCTCATTGTTCAACACCCGCCTATGAGTGAGAACATGCGGTGTTTGATCTTCTGCTCTTCTGGCAGTTTGCTGAGAATGATGGTTTCCAGGTTCATCCATGTCCCTACAAAGGACACAAACTCATCGTTTTTGGTGGCTGCATAATATTCCATGGTGTATATGTGCCACATTTTCCCTGTCCAGTCTATCATCGATGGGCATTTGGGCTGGTTCCAGGTCTTTGCTATTGTAAACAGTGCTGCAATGAACATTCGTGTGCACGTGTCCTTATAGTAGAACAATGTATAAACCTTTGGATATATACCCAGTAATGGGATTGCTGGGTCAAATGGAATTTCTATTTCTAGGTCCTTGAGGAATCGCCACACTGTCTTCCACAATGGTTGAACTAATTTACACTCCCACCAACAGTGTAAAAGTGTTCCTGTTTCTCCACATCCTCTCCAGCATCTGTTATCTCCAGATTTTTTAATGATCGCCATTCTAACTGGCGTGAGATGGTATCTCAATATTGTTTTGATTTGCATTTCTCCGATGAACAGTGATGATGAGCATTTTTTCATATGTTTGTTGGCCTCGTGTATGTCTTCTTTTGTAAAGTATCTGTTCATATCCTTTGCCCACTTTTGAATGGGCTTGTTTGTTTTTTTCTTGTAAATCTGTTTTAGTTCTTTGTAAATTCTGGATATCAGCCCTTTGTCAGATGGGTAAACTGCAAAAATTTTTTCCCATTCTGTTGGTTGCCGATTCACTCTAATGACTGTTTCTTTTGCTGTGCAGAAGCTGTGGAGTTTGATTAGGTCCCATTTGTCTATTTTGGCTTTTGTTGTCAATGCTTTTGGTGTTTTGGTCATGAAGTCCTTGCCTACACCTACGTCCTGAATGGTTTTGCCTAGATTTTCTTCTAGGGTTTTTATGGTGTCAGGTCTTAATGTTTAAGTCTTTAATCCATCTGGAGTTAATTTTAGTGTAAGGTGTCAGGAAGGGGTCCAGTTTCTGCTTTCTGCTCATGGCTAGCCAGTTTTCCCAGCACCATTTATTAAACAGGGAATCCTTTCCCCGTTGCTTGTTTTTGTCTGGTTTGTCAAAGATCAGATGGTTGTAGATATGCTGCGTTGCCTCCGAGACCTCTGTTCTGTTCCATTGGTCTATCTCTCTGTTTTGGTACCAGTACCATGCTGTTTTGATTACTGTAGCCTTGTAGTATAGTTTGAAGTCCGGTAGTGTGATGCCTCCCGCTTTGCTCTTTTTGCTTAGAATTGACTTGGCTATGCAGGCTCTCTTTTGGTTCCATATGAAGTTTAATGTGGTTTTTTCCAGTTCTGTGAAGAAGGTCATTGGTAGCTTGATGGGGATAGCATTGAATCTGTAAATTACTTTGGGCAGTATGGCCATTTTCACGATATTGATTCTTCCTAACCACGAACAAGTAATGTTTCTCCATCTGTTTGTGTCCTCTCTTATTTCGTTGAGCAGTGGCTTGTAGTTCTCCTTGAAGAGGTCCTTTACATTCCTTGTTAGTTGTATTCCTAGGTATTTTATTCTCTTTGTGGCAATTGTGAATGGAAGTTTGTTCTTGATTTGGCTCTCTTTAAGTCTGTTATTGCTGTATAGGAATGCATGTGATTTTTGCACATTGATTTTGTATCCTGAGACTTTGCTGAAGTTGCTTATCAGTTTCAGGAGATTTGGAGCTGAGACAATGGGGTCTTCTAGATATACAATCATGTCGTCTGCAAACAGAGACAATTTGACTTCCTCCTTTCCTATTTGAATACCCTTTATTTCTTTTTCTTGCCTGATTGCTCTGGCTAGAACTTCTAGTACTATATTGAATAGGAGTGGTGAGAGAGGGCATCCTTGTCTAGTGCCACATTTCAAGGGGAATGCTTCCAGTTTTTGCCCATTCAGTATGATATTGGCTGTTGGTTTGTCATAAATAGCTTTTATTATTTTGAGATTGTTCCGTCAATACCTAGCTTATTGAGGGTTTTTAGCATAAAGGGCTGTTGATTTTGTCAAAGGCCTTCTCTGCATCAATTGAGATAATCATGTGGTTTTTGTCTTTGGTTCTGTTTATGTGGTGAATTACGTTTATAGAATTGCGTATGTTGAACCAGCCTTGCATCCCCGGGATGAAGCCTACTTGATCATGGTGGATAAGCTTTTTGATGTGCTGTTGCAATCAGCTTGTCAGTATTTTATTGAAGATTTTTGCATCTCTGTTCATCATGGATATTGGCCTGAAGTTTTCTTTTCTTGTTGAGTCTCTGCCGGGTTTTGGAATCAGGATGATGTTGGTCTCATAGAATGATTTGGGAAGAATTCCCTCTTTTTGTATTGTTTGGAATAGTTTCAGAAGGAATGGTACCAGCTCCTCTTTGTATGTCTGGTAGAATTCGTCTGTGAACCCGTCTGGACCCGGGCTTTTTTTGGGTGGTAAGCTCTTAATTGCTGCCTCAACATTTTAGGGGTTTTCTCATCCCTGTTGATTTAATAATTTTTTTTGAATATCAATATTCATCAGTTTCACATCTTTCATTTACATGAGATTAACTAGACCCTTTATAAATTATTATAAAGTCAGGTTGTTCTACTGATTTTCAAAATAGGTATATAAAAACCAAAGGGATCAATCAGAGCCTTGATTTTAAAAGTATTTTCTGTATTATTTCAGAAACCTGAATCCATCTAAACCCAGAACATTTCATTTGTAGATTTCAGAGATTTCTCACCCTTCCTTACATTTATGTAGCATGTGTTTATCCAAGGCACACCACCTGCCAGGCACAGTGCTCAGCTGTGTTGACACACATGAATGTGATCATCTTTCTGTAGCCCCCAGGTTACATGGCACCACAGCCAAGATACAGACATGTGTGAGACAGTAATCAGGGTGCTACCCAGGACTTGCTGGAGGAATATCCCTTCAAAAAAATATTCTAAAGTGGGGTGTGTGTGCGTGTTTTGAGGTGGACTGGGAGAAAATATACTTTCCTTGAGATCACTTCCTGGCTAGATAGTCTCACCCCTCTCTATTTGTGATAGAATGCTAATGGAATTTGATAAGCTGTATTTGTCATACTAGAAACTAAGGAGCTGGGTGGCCATCTCAGGCACCGTAATAAGAACAAATCACACCAAACCTACATCATTGTCTTCTTTGACAGGGTTTCTAGAATGGTGAGATAGTGAGATTCTGAAAATCGCTGTTTTGGTAGTTCAGGGATTCACAGCATCTTCCATGCTGCTTATGTCAACCTGAGAGATATTTCTAGTGATAGGTTACAGGGATCTTTCCCCAGACACTTTAATATATTTTATTGGTGACCTGAATAGAGCCCTAGAAGGTTCTTATTAAATTTGCAGGTGACATGAAGTGATAGACAACAAACTATTTGAATTCAAATTAATTTTGAAAGCTGGGACAATGGACCCAATTCTTCAGCAATTATATTTAAAAGATATAAATGCATGCAGAAAACAAATTACAAGTATAGAGTGGAAGAGAGATGATTTAGCAGCAATGCATGCAGAGAGATCTAGGAGTTTTAGTTAATAACAGACTCAACATGAACCAGCAATGTGATGTGACTACCAAACAAGTAATTCCTCATTAGGCTGCATTAATGGAAATATGATATATAAGACCAAGGAAGTGGTGGTCTCATTCACATTCTGTGTTGAAAGGCTACACAAGGAATACCATGTAACACTGCTGGGCACGATGTTTATAGAGAAATAGAAACCAACTTGAGTGTCTTCAGAGCAGAATGATGAGTAGTTACTGAGCCTGAGAAATTTATAACCTGGAAGATTTGGTTGTCTTTAAGTATATGAATGGCTGTGATGGGGAAAAAAAGGATGAAATGTGTCCTCTTATCGTGGGATGAGTTAAGGAGCAGTGAATGGAAGCCCCAGGAGGTAGAGGTCTCAGTTGCTGCTGACAGTCAGGGCTGTCTGAGGGGTGGATGTTTCACCTCAGTACGAAGTGAGTTCATTGTCAATGGTTAGGTTCAAAAATGCAGGGGAAGACTACAGGGCAGGGAAGCTAACTTGTGTTAAGACCCTTTATAATCAGTAATTTTTTTTATTTGTATGCCCTTAGGAAGATGTTTACTTAACTTAAAAAATGATAACTCTGTAGCAAGGGATAATCAAGATTTGGTTATAGGACAATTATAATTTTCTGACAGATCCCCCAAAATAATAGAAACTAATATCTTACACACTACTTTATCCAAGCTGTGGTGTGTCTGACTTATTTCATGGACTTTGTGTTTTAGTCAGTTTATACAGGCTGAACAATATAGAGTTATGACATTAAATGGGTTTTTTTTTGCAGGTTTAAAGTGCTGACATTTTTCCAAATTACTGGCTGATCCTAGAACTTGTGAGAAATTTTGGTGTTTCCCCTCTTCCTACTTTTGTTTACATCATAGTATGCAGATGGTACAATATTTTGGTTAACCTCAGTCTGACACTTAGATTGTGTTCTCTTTTGCTCTGTTAACGTCTAGAACGTAAAATGACCAGTAAAGCAGCACCAAGAAATCAAAGAAAATTTCCCAGTTCTACTCACTCATAATTCTCCTAATTTAGTAGGGGTTTTCCGCAGGAAATCACAATAGAATAGTTGAAATGCTCTTTATCTTATGTACTTTTCTTCTGAAGAAAGGAACAGTTAATTGTCTTCTTCTCCACATGGCCCAAATTCTTGTACAGGGCAGCTCTATTTACTTTAGTACAAAGGAAATTTTACACAGAATGATAGTCTCTAAGTATTTTCAATCATTAAGAACCTAATTGCTTCTCTAACCAGTGGGTTTTAGTGAAGGTGATAAAACAGATTTTATAAGCAAGAAAAATAGATCATGAGGGTGATTTTATACCTTTAAGAAAAAAGGGCCGGGTGCAGTGGCTCACTCCTGTAATCCCAGCACTTTGGGAGGCTGAGGCGGGCAGGTCAGGAGATCAAGACCATCCTGGCCTACATGGTGAAACCCTGTCTCTACTGAAATACAAAAAAAAAAAAAAAAAATTAGCTGGGCATGGTGGTGCATGCCTGTAGTCCAAGCTATTTGGGAGGCTGAGGCAGGGGAATCACTTGAACCCAGGAGGTGGAGGTTGCCGTGAGCCGAGATCACGCCATTGCACTCCAGCCTGGTAACAGAGCAGGACTCTGTCTCAAACAAAAACAAAAAAAAACAAAAAAAAAAAAGAAAAGAAAAGAAAAAAGAAATCAGTGATATTCAGTCCCAAGTAAATTTGGGTATCACAGAGTCAGAGATATTCTTAATTATTTTAAATTAAACGAGTAAAACACAATGTGTTAAGACTTTAAAATCATTTTAAAAGAGTGTTTGAAATTTACATTAATAATTTCTATTTTCAATGAATAAATAAACGAGAAACCTAGAATTTTTATTTTGGACACACTTCAATCATATCTAATGTGTTCTACTTCCTCTCATTATTTTTATGTGATTTATAAGGATTTTCTTAAACCTTTTAGATTAAAATTTCTCAGTGCATCTTTTTTTGCTTGTCTGTTTTTCTCTCCCCACTTGTGTAATTGAAGCATTTCTGACATATCCTCAGAACAGACAGATTCTTTGTTATCAGGACTTAACTACCCAAGGCAGGGCCCTCCTTGGATTGCCTGAAAATAAACACTTTGGGTACTCAGTCTCAGTTTTAATGACAAAAGTTGAAATCTTTGCCTAACATGAAGGTTTTTCTTTGTCTCTAAATTTTGATTTTCCATGCTATCAGAGGTCCCATTGCAACAGGTAATTTGAGTGTTGATTGTATGTTTTCTCAGTTTGTAATTGTGGTGAAATGTATTTAAAATGTTCACAATTTTAAAGTTAAGTTTACCTATAAGGTTCTTTCCAACTCAGAAATTCTTTGATGGTAAACTTTTTTATTGTAGTTTGAAAATGTGATATTTGGGTTTTGTCCTCTGTGTCCTATGCATATGACTAGGAATCATAGAATTTTAGAGCTGGAAAATGAGCAAGACATTATCTAGTGATTCTACAAAGAATTAAGAGGCCCAAAGAGGTTAGGTGACTCAGGCAAAATCATAGCAGTACCTGGTGACTAGAACTGTGGCCACCTACTGCAGCAGTAAAAATTAACTCAAATGTTTTTGTCTGAAAATTTGCAGACTTCAGGCCAGGCCTCTAAATAAATGAATAAGAAGTTAAAGTATTTTTGAGAAAGGTAAGCTTAATATGCTACTTTCAGGAAAAGATGTGTCTGATACAAATGTATTTGGTATAATAGAGAACATTCTTCTATTATACCAAAATGAAAATTTTGAACATTCTCAAAATTTGAGAATTTTGAGACATTTATATTAAGCACAGTTTATTCAGACTCTATATAAACTGTGCTGTCATCCCTGTTGTTTTCTCCAAGCGGAATCATACTTAAATGACAACTTTGGGGGAGTTTAATGTTTCTTATTTTTGCACTCCTGGGATATTTTTCAGTGACTTTGAAGCATAAACTGACGCTGTGAAGTTAATGGAAGTGACAGCATGTCCCTAGGACGCTGGTGGGGAAAGCCCTCCTCATGCAGCTGCCTTGCAGAGTCTCGTCTGCCGGTGGTGAATATGAGATCACACAGGGCCTGCAGCCAGGGCAG